TATATAAAGGACAAGAAATCTTCTTTTTCCTTGTTTTCCACCTTGTTTTTAGTTGTAGAAATATCAAGGATGTCTTACTCTGTTTTCATTTTACTTTGTTTTGTCTGTACTGGAAGACTTCCAAGGGCTTGCAAATCAAAGGTTTCTCATCTTAAGAGTGAGAGCCCTGTCTAGATGCTTATCAGGAATTGATTTAAGTAGGGTTAATAAAAAAGGGAAAAAAAAACCCAAACCCACAGCTCTATCTTCATTGCTTGGGTTTTACTCTTCTGATACAGTTGACATGGATGATCCTGGTAGCTCCTTAGTCATCTGTATTCTCCAGGATCAGAGTGAACAAGTCCTAAAGATCTAATGTTTGAACAAGTTTTTGCTTGTTCCTAAACCACTGTTACGGTTCATGAGAGGCTGCCTGCCCATTTGTTTTTTTCCTAGTTCTTAAATTTTGGAGTGTGAAGCCAGTCCAGAAGCACTCCCAGCCTGTATCAGTGGGGAAGAGATGGCCTTGCTTGAAGATCCCACCAAAGTGGTGCCTTCATCAGGCTAGATCTAGGAAGTGTGCACTTCAGCCAAAGGCTTTAAGGATGTTGAAAATCTTCAGATTGTTTTACCATTTGAAAAACAAACTTTGCAAGAATTAATTTAAAGGTGAAGAGTTCAGCTCTCTTTCTCCATCAACTGGGTGTTCAGCTTCAGGCCTTGAGCCGTGTTGGAGGGAGTTGCAGTTTAACAATGTCTGTGTCCAGAAAAAAAAAAAAAAAAAAAACCATAAAAAACCAAACAAACAACAAAAAACCAAACAGCTTGAACTGCTAGTGTCCGTTATTAATTTCCTTCAATGATATCTGCAGATGCTGTGTCCTTTGGGCAGCTCTCTCCAGCTGTACTCTTAACACAGCTTGTAACCAGGGGAGTGATTACAAAGCCTGGAATTTCTTCCCTTGTGCTCTCGGGCCAGTTGTGAAGCCCTTGGGGCCGGTTCAGCAAAGCCTCCGGGGCAAGTCACTGCTGGGTTGTATCAGATGGGAATCCAGCTCCCCAACCTGGTCGTAGGATCCTCTTTGCCCTTGGGTTTTTTGCTTTCTTGATGCCCTCCTCAGTGGGTTGTTCCTTTCTGTGTCTGTCAAGTGCTCAAGCAGAGAAAGGTCCATGTGGGGTTGTATAGAGGGCTGTGCTTTGGGAACAGCAGGTACTTTTTTGGGTGTCTTGGGCTGGGTGCGTACAGTTTGAGCAAGAGTCATGAGGGACAGTGTGGTTTAACCACAGCTTCTGCCTCTTCACCGGAAGGTGCAATGGATTTCAGTGCTCTGAGGGTTTTGCGTTTCTGTATTAGTGTTTACTGAAATGAGCAAAGAGCTATGAAATCCCATCCTGGCATGGGTGTGAATTTCCCTTCAGTTGTAAATTTTCTTTAAAGGCAAAGGGATTATAATTGTAAAATATTGAGAGAAATATGTAGAATACTTCCTTTGCAGAGACTTGAGGTGAAAAGACTTGGTGCCAGAAGTTACTGCTGTGGACGTGTTAACTCTTACACACAACAGCTGCTCCTGTATCATTACCTTTTAATCTGCCTATAAATTCCAGGTTCATTTTCCTCTTTGAAGCTCCATAACATTCAAATTGTTCTTTTTCTCTACCCGTACATATCGATTGCAACTGGTTGTCATAATGCAATGGGGAAGAAGAATGCAGTACTGCTGAACGTAACTGTCCTTTCTTGCTTTTGGGATAAAGTGAGGTTTTTCTTTTCCTAGACAATGCAGACTGTGTTCAGCCTTTAGAGTGATCCTGCTGCTTGTCTTGTACTGGAGATTTTCTCTACAGCCCTGCTTGGCTTAATTTTCTAGTGGGGTTTTTGTGGAGACCCCTCAGATGGTGTGGATTTATAGCCTTGCTTGTCTTTTGGTACCTTGTAAGCATGTTCTGGCAGGCTTTTCTGGATCTCCTACTCTATTTCTGGTTAATGCTTGAGATCTTCTCCTTGTCTCCTCCACTTAAAAAGACCTGTCTGTAGCTGTCTGTGTGGAGAGGATATTCTTTTTCTTTCCAGCTTCCGTGAACTTTAATCCTAGCACCTCGCCCACTCTTGATCTTGCCTTCATTTCTGTCTCGGTAACTAGCCCTGACCATGCTGTGAATTCCTGTGAAATGCTTCTATTTTCTACCACGTTTGCAGATTTCTGTAGTATACTAAGCACGGGATTTAAAAATTTCATTAAGAACAAGTAAAACTGCCTGTTCATCTTCTTTTAGGCTTTCTGGGATTCCCAGAGCAAAAGCATTTATTCCTTGCATAATCCTGCATTGCTTTTAGATCGCGTGATAAAGTCTGCAGCACGCGGTGGTGCCTGGGCTGACTGCGATGGTTGCAAGAATGGTTTCTTAAATCTCCACATTTCTTCTGAATGTGGAGAGCGTGCAGTAAAGGCACAGTGCTGGGAAAAGGCAATTCTTTCCCTATAAAGGTCTTTAGGCTTTGCCGTGTTAAAGGTGGGGTCTGTTAAAAAATAACTGATTCTGTTGCATTTCCTCGGTGTAGCAGTCAGGACACGCAATTTCCTTTATCTCCTCCACCTGGGGAAAAAAAAAAATCAAATAAAAACTGAGGATATATTTCTGAAGCTTGCTTGCTGCTGAGGATTTTTTTGTCCTATTTAGCAATAACCTGCCAGGTAACTTGATTCACCATGCTAAAACTGCAGAGAAATTGTAATGAGATTTAAAGAGGTTATAATGTTGAAGCTTCAGTTTTGATCTTCATTTCACTAACGCTTCTGCTGCTCGTCTCACTGCACTGTAAGTGTCTGGTTAGAGTGGTTTTGGTCCTCAGAGGAGATCAAGTACCATCTTGCAGAGTGAGGTTAGATGAGGTGCAGTTCCCTGACGTGGTTTGTAGATCACTGTTCTTAACATCCTCTGGAAGTCCTGAGCATGTCTCTTGTCCAGTTACAGTTTAAAACCAGAAGGGAGGACACTGGATTTCTTGCTGGTTGCCAGCCTTGCTTCCTGCTCTGTGGGATTGGACCCAGCGAGCTTGGAGTGATGCTATGGCCCAAGACCTGCTCTGCACCAAAACTATTGGCTAGAGCTGTAACTCATGAAGCAGTACAGTCCTTCAGACAAACATGAGGTGTTCTTTTAGTGCTCTGGTGTGGTAGGATAGCTAATTTCCTTTCTGCTGTAGGAGCTCCTGCCCTGGTAATCACCACAGAAATGCCAACACTGTGTCTCTTCTGCTTGTGCCACTTGAACTGTATCCAAGCTGCTGTTGTGCAAAAAAAACCCAACCCCACATAATGTTTTGTATAGAGATTTCCCAGCTAGATTGTCTAGGAAGATGTTAAAGATCAAGGAAGCGGTGCTGGGGTACAGCAGGGGACACTGATACACATCCATCAGCCTGGTTTGGTGTATTTTGTCTGAGATGTTTCTGTGTCACAAGGTCCTGCTGTGGTTTGCCAGGCCCCTGAGAAATTCAACTTGGGCATTTATGTTATCTTACGACCCCATCGCCCAAATCAGGAGCATCATCTGAATAAGATGATATGTTGCAAAGAGTATTAAAAGGTGTAGATGGGCAAAACTGATACAGAACTTAAATAATTAGCAATAATTTCTGTTACACTGGGATGCAAGATATTTGTGTAAGTTGGTTATTGACAGAGTTGCTTAGCTCCCATCTCAGCTAAACTCCTCTGACAAACTCTCTCGAAATCTTAGAACTCTTGCTTGAGCCAGTGAACTGAAAACTGCATCCAAAACTGTTAGGTACGCCATGATATTAGTGAGTGCAGGGAAAGCTTCCCTGCATGGCGAAGCTTCAGCCAGCCTGTCATTCCATGGTTAACTTGAAAGATGATTATATTTAAACATGGACTGTTATTTTATGCTTCATCACTTTAAGCACAGACCTTTGCAGGGGCATATTCCAAAAAGGTCAAGGTCTGAATAGCATGTCCCTGAATTTCTAAACATTCTTCTGATATTAAAGGGTCAGTTTCCCCAGGGTGAAATCTGGAGAGGGAAGGAAGAAAACTTTACAACTCAAAGTAGTAATGGGAACTTTTATTTTTTTGCTTGCCATTGTTTTTTGATTCAGCTGTAAGTATTCTTTATTGAAAAGTGATCCTGGAAATTTAAAAAAGTTTACCGAATACTTTTATTTTCTGTTTTTAGATGCAGAGATTGGCTGGCCTAGGGAGACCGATTAGGAACCTCTGACCTCACTGATGTTTAGGTGGCTGGGAAAGACTGGGGACACTGCAAATCTAGAACTCCAGTACTGCAAACTTTCTAATTTAAACGCATGTGTTGCACCAGTTTCTTAACTTGCGGCTTCACGAAAGCCTTGTGCAGCAATTGGAGGCAGCCAAATGGCTCCTGGAGATACGGTGACGGTTCTGTTATCTGCAGCAGCTTTACTGTCACATGAAAAGTAAAAGCGCCACAACCTGACACTTCTCAGCTGTGGGGCTGGCTTGGACCAGCTCCAGAGCTGGTGGCCAGGTGGCAGCTGTGCAGGCTCGGTGCGGAGGGATGATAATAGCACGGAGCTGTAAACAGGACGCTCCACCCTGCCTCCTCGTGCCCCAAACGCCGCGCTGTGCACGCAGCCTTTGCACCCTGAGGAAGGGCAACCTGCTTCCAGCAGCTCCCTGCCCTGCGTCTCCCAGATGCCCCCTGCCCTTCGGGGCTTCTCCAGGCTTCTCCGTGCTGCTTAACAACAACCCACATTGTTTGGTAGCGGGGTTGTACTTCATGAAAAGAAACGACAGGTCTGGCTGTTCATACATTAACAGCTTTAGATGTTTGTCAGCCATTGTCCACGATTGATGCGGTTGTCACTGTAGGAGGCCAGGTCTCTGCTCTCGGTCATGTCTGTTCTCAAGATTTTGGGTTTTTTTTCAGGCTGGTTTGGACTGTTGCCCTCTGGAAGGTTTGGCGTACGAAGGTGACCCCAGTCGCTCTGGGTGCGATGGTTATATCAAAGGGGGGGCCTCTTGGAGAGCTTTGGGGGGGGGTGCGTGCTGTCAGAGCAGTGTGGGAGAGGGGTGCCCTGTTGCAGGAGAGTTCCGCTCTTCTACCAGCAGCCTAGCAGGGGAGAGCAGCATGAGAGGAAGAGACAGCTGAAGTCATACGTAATGGAGATGCAAGTAACATAGCCTGTGGGGGCAATGAGGCGCTGAAGAGGAAGCTGCAAATACTAATGAGTTTCTAAATTAGAGTTAGTGGTAGCTGTCTTGCTGTTAACTGTTGGGAGCAGGGAGTGTGCCTTGAAACGCCAGCTGGACCCAACACAATAAGCCTTTAATCCAGTGTGGACCTTATGAGGTGTGGCTGTCATGCAAGGACTAATGCTTCTCTTGCCCTCCCATGTGGCTTTTTGTTCCTACCCTTTTCTCACCTAGAACTGGAATTCCACTGCTCGAATGGTATTTTAGCTGATAAAAAGATGTATTTAACAGGCCATGTCCCTGGAACAGTCTCAGCAGTGGGTGCCACAGCACCTTTGTCTACAGAGGTATTTGGCAAACACAACATAGTGTTTAACAGTTTTAATGCTGGGTTTAGTGTGGTTAACTTGCTACCCTCCTGCCATGCCCTCGTTTTGGGGAGGAAAGAGAGAATGTCTGTACACAAAGCACCTGGAGCAGAGAGCTGTGCCTGGCCTTAATATCTTGCCAGGAGGCCACAGGGCTGGTTCTCATGTGCGTGGTAATCTGCATGTCTAATCAAAATGAAATGCAAACAGAACTTTCCTGCTGGCTTGAACTTGCCTCTTTCTTGCTACCTTTTTGGCGAGAACACCTTTTTTCAGCTGCAAGAGTGACGACAGGGCTGCTGTGCTGTGCCGTCTGCCCGTGGGCCAGGCGTTAATCACATCTAGTTTGGAGTGGGCCAGGATGCGATGGAGGAGACGAGGAAGACACAGCAAAGCGTGTGCTGTACATCTCCCCTTGCTGTAGCCTGCCAGGAGACGCTCACTTGGCTCTCCCTCCTGGCGATGGGATTGCGCTGGGGTGCATCACTGCTGACACTAAACCTCAACCGAGTCGTATTTACAACACCTTTCTAGCTACTGCTATGAAAGCAATGTCTGAACAGGCAGTGTGGCCATCTCATAGAAGCTGGGCAGACCCAGAGCTGGATTTTTGCTCAGGCCCTGCCAGTGTTGGGTTATGACAGTGACCAGGTTGCACACCTCCCTTTCTGGTCTGTGCTGAATGAACTCACGTACCTACTAATGCATCAAGTGCTCACATAGTGCTGGAGGATCCAAAACTTTGCAGATGTTCTCTTGGCCACCTTAAAACTGGAAGCGAGCAATAGCATGCTTCCTTGGGGGGAAACTGAGGCATGCAGGCTCCCTTTTCCTGTTGAGTCTTACCATGGGTAGGCGCCTGGGTTTTCCAACTACGCTTTGTGCTCCAGCTAGTAAGAAGTACGGCCTTAGAGACAGCGTAGTGGGTTTTTTCTACAGTGTTCATGCAGAAGCAATGTGGGCATGCCGAGTATTTCACTCGCTTGTGTAGCAGCCCCCTCGACTTCGACTGGAATGTCTAATCAATGACTTCAAGCAGCCACTTAAGGACTGCAATAAAATCTCTGCTTCTAGAGAAGCAATCTCTTGGTGATAAGCGTGAATACGGCGCTCTGCAGCGGAGCGGAGGAGTGAGTAGGAGAGCAGATTGGGCAGTCAAGCTGCCAGCCCTTTCTACTGAAGTGGCGTTTCTGTTGCTGCTTGTTTTCAACAGTTGACCTGGAGCAGCAAAACTGCCCGTGCTGAGGCTGAGCAGCCGCGTGGCCTTGGCAGGGAAGAGCTGCTGCGAGAGTGGGAACTCGCTGGGCACATGCGAAGTGATGGGACTCTGGTTTCCACCAAGTAAATGCGCTTCTCCGAGCTGGATGTGCTAGCTCCCTTCTTGTGATTTTTCGCAACGGACGTGGGCTTGTTAACTGTGATAATTGTTGCTGAATCTTGGCGTTGGAAGTCTAATTTTCTTTTCTTTTCCCCCTTGTCTAGCCAGCGTTCCCTGTGCTGCCGCTGTTGAGAAGACCTGCCGTCCCCGGCAGCCCCGTGTGCGGCGCACCTCTTCGTTAGACACCATCGTGGGCTCGTACCTGTTGGGACAGTGGCCAAGGGATGCTGAAGGAACCTCCACTTCATGCATGAATGACAAAGCTACCCAGGTATAACCGCCTGCAGACTGCCCTTGAGCCTCTGGGCCAGGAGCGGGCTGCAGAACTGAAGCGCGCTGTGTGAACTGGGGGTGAACAGGGAAGGCATTAAATTTCCATCCGTCCAGCTGCAACTTTCTAGGAAGGCTTTTTTTTTTCCCCCTTTTGCTTCTCAGCTTCAATTGATTCCACTTTGGTGCAGAGTTAGAATTTCCTTGGCCTTGTTTGGAGGCAGATGGCCCCTGGCTTTCTTCTCCAGTACTGGCTCAGTGCTACTTTTTTTTTTTCTGGCTTGCAGTTCTGGGCCAAGTCCTTATACAACACTTGCGGGCTGTGTGCCACACGCTGCGAGAAGTCAGGGGTGCTCCTGCAGAAGGGCTCGCTAGCACAAACGGTGCAGCGCTCTACTGTAGAATGGAAAAGCTCCAGACCTTGAGGAACTCTTAGCAACCTGTAAATATTACTGTATGGCAGCAAGTAGTGCTTGCCTATCTGCAGAGGTGAAAGAATTCAGAAGGATAAGAGCATCCGTTTGCTTAAGTCGTTTATTTAGCGCATTCAATCTCTGTTAACTTGCTGTTTGATCTTTGCTATTCAACAATTTATTACTGGGCTGTTTGCAGGAAATTCTCAATTGGATTCCAACTTCCATTGTCCTTTTCCAAAGTATTCCTGCCTGCTTTTGTTTCAGTTCTAGTGCCCAAGAGTGCTGCTGAGGGCAGAGGCCATGCTGGAAAGGAAGGGAAAGAATTTGTGTAACTTTATTTCTGAGTTAGGGAAGCACACTCTTCCTTTTTGCCTTTATCAGCAAGAGTGGGAACACTTAACCCCGGTGTTTTGGGGCTAATTAGTTTTTTCTTGCACGTGGCCCTTTTGGAGAAAGGGTTGGAGGAGAGGAGCACCTCCTTCTTCCTGGAATAGAAGATACCACTGTGTTAATTCAGACTCTGCTGAGCATGGAGCTGATCACTCCTCTCTGCAGTGAATAGGCCACTTGTGCCGTAGTCTTTCATCAGTTATCTGCAAGTGTCTTGCAAATGCTAATTTTACCTTACAACAGGCCTGTGCAGTGAGCAGCAATCTCCACTGCTTCACACACGGACCCCTCTGTGTCAAATGACTTGTCTGTTGAAAGCTGGGAATAAAGTCCTCAGTTCTAGACTGCCCTGTGTATTAACACAATGTTCCTCATCGTAACCTCCAGGACTCAGCATGGAAGGGGTGGCATAGCAGTTACCAAACTTGGGGATTTCTCTGCTAGCCAGTACATGTTTACTTCTCTCCTTATTAAGCTACTGATCAGCTGTTTTGCAGAGCTCTGTAGATTTGCTATCATAAGGTGGTTAAGTGAGAGATACAGCTGCAGGTGCTCAGCGTGGGGGTGAGGATGGCAGCACTATACATGATTGGAGCTTGTGGCTTTATCTTGCTGTGCAAAGCATTTTTTTTCCTCTCCTTTTTCTGAGGAAGCGGTTTTGCCGCAGTTAGTACAAAAGGTTCTGTAATTTCCTTTTGCCTTGACAGTCTGCCTGTGAGAGGTGTGACGCCTATGCTCTCTTCACTTTCAGGCCTTCCTATTGCAAACAGAGTCTCTTCTTCCTTTTTAGGCCCTAGTTTTTTGTGAGCACTGGTGCAGTGCTGAGTGTTCTGGGCATCGCGGCAATAGGCTGTCTCAAACAGGGTTCAGGAGGCTGCCAGTGACTTGAGGAGAATTTCTGTCACGTCCTGCAAAGCAGGACTGTTCTTAGCAGCTGGGGTTCAGCTTCCCACAGACTTGCTTCTTGCAGTAATGTGGGACAGGGCTGTGCTTTTGTCTCTTAGACCTTTGCCTCTTAGCCTTCTCTCTGAGAGATCATCTGGGATATAAAATGACAAAATGTTTTGGGATAATGGCCAAATACCGATGTTTGAGTTGTTTAGGAGAAAATATTTGAGGTAGGAAATGAGATCAGATGTGCCGTGTGCTGAAACTGCAAGGTTGGTCCTTGCTGTAGGATTTCCTATCGCATTAGCTCTGGCATGGTTTGGGGTAGCACGGGGAGGGCTGTGACCAACTGCTCCGAGCTTAGCAAGGCCTCAGAGCAATGGCTCAAGCTGAGCAGATTTCTTCCCTCAAACCAAACTGAACGCTGTAAATTGACCAGAACAACTTCTGTGCCATGATGTCTGCTGCTTACAGGCATTGCAAAATGGAGACCTAGACAGCAAATGGTTTTAGCTGTAGGGAATGGAGCGCGCTCTGCTTAGAGCGGTGTGTGTAAGCAGGAGTTTCATTCAGAGCCTGTTAAGTCAGGAGAGGGTTGGATTTCGGCCTAGAAATCACCTGTATCCCTTTACAGGAGGGAAACCTGGTACCTCTAGGTAACTTGCCTTGTTCCTTTGGTTTAAATAGATTTTAAAACCTGTTTTGAGAGAAGAGGCTTCTGTCATCCCTGTGACTCAACGGGGTTGTTTAAAACAGCTGCTGTTCTTGCAGTAGCCTCTGGGGAGATCAGTTAAGCTGCTTGGAGAGGAACTGTTCTCAGGCCCTTGCACCTTCTGGCAGCCTGTCGCTGAGGATGGAGGAGGGAAGCTTCATCCAAAGCCTCCCACAGAAATGGCAGGCAGCAGTGACACAGGGTGAGCGTTTTGAGAAGCACTCAAAAGCGATGTTGGGGAAAAAATGATGGATGATCTTGAAAATGGTGTGCCTTGGGACTGTTAGGATCCCGGAGTCTCTGCCGAGCGGGCTGAGTTCAGTGGAAGGAAGTTCACACCCTTTGCTGATCAGATTAACAGCCCTTTCTGATTTCCATTGATATTCAGAACGTAGCTGTGGCTTGGAAAACAGCTGTGTAACAGGGTGCTGAGGCTGTTTTTCTCCATGAAGCGAGTCAGCTGAGAACTGCCAGCCCTGCAGACGGAGGGACGTGAGCTGGAGAGGCAGCTGGCTTTTCCAGCGCTCCAGCAGCAGTCGGTCTGCAGGCCAAACTCTGGGTTTGGTTACGCCTTTGAACTCCGATACGGGAGCCTGAGGTCTCAGAAGCGAGTTGTGTGTTCTCACAGTTGGGTGAGGCTTTTCCTCTCGGTAATGCTTCTCTGTACAATGAGTGCCTGAAACCCTACGTCACCGCTCATCAGACGGGAGCCTGTGCAAGCTGCGCAGCGGGCGGTTGCGGTTGTTTCTCCGGAGTAATGGTTTGGTGCCCTTTATCTCGCCAGCTACCTGTGGTGATTAAGCCACTGACTTCTGGGCAGGTCTCTTGCCGTGTAGGTTTGTGAGGTTCAGGCTCCAGATAAGCGCAAACGTGGCCAAAATGACTTTGTTTTGGCAAATACTAACTAGATGGCTATCTCCTAATGCCCATTGCTGAGTGTTGGATTAATGGGGGAAGACTGGCACAGGACTGTGAATGGGCAGGGCTCTTCTACCAGCCTCTAAGCCAGTAAATGTTGTGATTATTCTCAGCCGTGTTTCTCATCACTTCAGACTCCAGTGTCCTGGCATGACGCGGAAGTGGGGAAAGCCAGCTCCAGTGCTCACAAGCGTTCTGCTTCTTGGGGTAGCACAGATCACCGCAGAGAGGTAAACCAGACCACTCCCAATGCTCGAGCAAGAGCTGTGTTAGCTCGTGACGTGTAGGAGGCTCCTGGTTGCACGGGAGGGGAGCGGGAGGACAGGATGCTATTGAAGATGAGACCTTCGCCCTTGTTTTCATTCCTGTCTGGCTAAAGACTGATCTTGTTGGCTTCCTCTAGCCGGCAGCTATTGTAAAGTAGCTCCACGGAAACTCGGTGCATTGCTCGTTGGTGTCGTGGCCAGTGTGGGCTCCAGCAGGGCCTGGCTCCTCACGCTTTCTAGGTGGAGGATGACCCAGACCTGCTGGAAGAAGGGCAGTGGCCACGTTGCAGTGGGGGAGTTTGTGACGAGGCCTCGCGAGTACGTCTGGTCCATCCTTTGAGAGGTGGCTGGAGCTGCTGCTTGTGTGATTGAAACCGTCTCTGTTTTGGCACTTCCTTGTGGGTTGGGAGAGAGGGGGAGGAGAGAGACGAGGAATGATCCTTTGTGGTGGAGGTGTGTTGGCTTGTCTGGTTCTGTAGCTGAAACTTTGTTTGCTAGATTGCCAAACTGAAGCAACAGCTCCAGCGAACAAAGCTAAATGGCAGAAGTGGCAAAGAAAAGGAGAAGAGCTCCCCGCTCCAGGGCGACCATGCTGTCCTTGGATCGCTCAGGGTACGTTCACGTCTCCCCCTGCTCTGCTGTCACCGTATGTCCTAGTGGAGTGGAGACCAAACTCCTTTGGGCAGGGGTCCAAGCTGTTCTCAGGCTCCTGCTTTCATGCCTGAGAAGGGAGAATTTTTTTTTCCGCTTCTCCCACCTTTGCAACGTGTCCCTGTGCTTTGAGCTGCAGTTAATGAGTTTACGTGACTCTGCTGTCAGTCTTCTCCTGGAAGGTTTTGGCTGAGCCCTGGAGAGCTGTGGGAACAGGATGTAACTGCTGAGTTTGTGCAGATACAACTCTAACTCATTTGATTCTGGATTGTTACAGGACTTTCCTTCAGGCTTCCTTTCTCCATCTCCCATTTTGAGGCTCAGTCCTTGCTTGCATAGGAGCCTGGAAGGGCTAAACCAGGAACTGGAGGAAGCGTTTGTGAAGGAACAGGGAGATGAAGAGCTTTTGCGGGTAAGTAAAGCTCACAGATTGTCCTGAATCTTCTGGGTGGTCTTGGAAATCCTTTCCTCTAAAGACACTGCCTGTATCTGTTTCTTGGCCATGGGAACAGTCTCTTGTGTGTAGTTTTGGTTTGTTCCAAGCATATAACTGTCTAAATTGGGTCAAGTGGCTGCTGACTTCCCTCCTTAAAACTTGCTGGTGCTCTGAGAGATCAGCCAGTAGTGGTCTCAGGATAGATGACACCTCACTGACAGCTCTAAGACTCTGTCTTAGACTGGCATCCAGAGGCTACTTTGTCCTGTGCAGGTGCAGGAGAAGTGACCCCAGATGGTTTATGAACTGAGCAGGATCCAGAGGGGCCCATGTCCTTCTGGTTGCAGAGGTTGCGCTCCCTGGAGTGGAGGCTCTGCCTGTGTCTGCATCCAACGCCCTGAGGAGCTGCTCTATCTGCAGGTGCAGCTGCTGTCAAACCTCTTCTCTTGGGACAGGGCTTTCTTGCTCCTCTAAGACTTTGCTTCCTCCCTAGATATTGGATGTCCCAGATGGCCACAGGGCCCCAGCGCCTGCCCAGAGAGGCTCTGGAGATGCCTCCCTGACTCTGGAGCCCGGCAGTGGCAGCTGTAGCAGCCTCTCTCTTTCTCCTTCCCCTTCGGTGCCTCAGCACCTTTCTCCACACACCCTGGTGAGGCTGGGAGCAGAGGAGCCCTCCTCTGCGGCAGACGAGGTGCAGCCAGATCCAAAGGAGAAAGGTAAAGGCTGAAAGCAGAGGGGTGGGAGGTCTGGGGAGACGAAGGGGACCAGTGCCACGAAACCCGGGGTGCAGTGGCTCCTCCCTGTCTGTGTGCTGGGTTGGAAGCTGCAGCTGAGATGGGAGAGAGGAGCTCGGCCGATTTGGCTAAACTGTAGTGGACTCTTAAAGTTCCAGTAATTACCCTCCAGGTGGGTGGTTTCCAGTCCTAGATGAGGGATGGGAGCTGGGAACTACACAGATGAAATGCCGCAAGCTTTGGGGTGTTGTAGCCTGCAGCTCCAGGGTTTAGAAGAACATGTGTGGTGTTGAGTTAGAGCTGTTGGATTCTTCCTGAAATTTCTCAAAAAGTATCTTTTTTCCTGCTAGAGGAGGGCAGCCCTTCACCAGTCCTGGCCTTTGCTTCTTCTCCTCGACCCAACCACAGCTACATGTTTAAACGGGAACCTCCTGAGGGATGCGAGAAGGTCCGGGCCTTTGAAGAAGCTTCGTAAGTATGAGGAGTTGTTGGCAGAAGAGAAACGTGCGGGAGGCTGGTCCTGCGGGAGGATGGTGGGGGCAGCTGAGGCTTCTGTTCCTCCAATCGCCACCCCAGCCCTGCTCTAAAAGTAGGGAGCAGCCTCTGGGAAAACGCTCCCAGCAAAAACGTGGCTGCTCAGGCCCAGGTGGGAAGAGCTGAAAGCTGAACTGCTAACGCTCAGCCACACGTGGAGGGATCCTGAGATTCCTTGTCCTTCCCAGCCAGTTGGTTTTTCTCGGCCAGCAGAGCCTTCTGAGGAGAAGGTTCTCCTATAAAAAAGTGGGCTTTTGAAATCAAACAGGCTCTTTGTGCTGCTCTATACCCGAAGAGCGATCCAGCTCACGGGCAGTTCAGCTTTTAGGCTCTTTGCAGAGTGCACGACTCCAGGGATTTTCCCTGCAGCTGCTGGGTGCCCTCAGGAGTGTCCGTTCCTAATCCTGCCCGCTCTGTCTCTCTCCTTCAGCTCCCCCAGCCCTGATCAGCCCTTTCGGCCTTCCTGCCCAGATAAGAACAAAGTGCACTTCAACCCCACCGGTTCTGCCTTCTGCCCCGTCAGCCTGGTGAAGCCTCTCTTCCCAAACGTGGGCTTCCTCTTCCGGGGTTTTCCGGCTTCTTCCAGCCCTGCCACGGGCACGTTTACATCCTGCCAGCCCCCAGCCCCGGCGCCGTTCCTCGCGGGGCGGAAGGACGCTGCAGTAGATAGCTTCAGCGAGGTGCCCAAGTCCCCTTCACTGAATTACGAACACTGGAAGCGCGGCCAGCCAGAGGAGAGCGTCGTCTTCCACAGTTCTCTCGTGGTGTGAAGCCTTTGGGAAAGCTAGCCAGCAACAGCAGCTCTGGCTCCTCAGCGCGTCTCTGCCAGCCTGTGGAGCCTAGTGCCTTGAAGTTGGGATGTGACAGCCAAGAGGCAGCTCTGGAATTGAGAACCACAGCAGTCTTCTTCCAAGGATGATAGAAACTGTGAAATAAGTGTGCCACGGGACTCCTTGCTGCTGGAGAGGCTTGTTTCTCTGAGCCTCCCCTGTTCAAAGCACTTTCCTGTGTTGAATTGTCTTTGTTTCCTGTGTGATTGTTTTGCTGGTGAAGAGCAGCCGGGCGCTGCTGCGGGGAGCAGAGGGCAAACTGGGGCTCCGTGGCTCTGGCCACCAGGTTGAGCTGGGAAGAATTCAGGGTTAGGGCGTCCTTGGCACCCCGCAGCCCTGGGGCTGCCGGGGCTTGCTGATCCCTGGGGAGTGGGAAGGGGAGGAGAAGGGGCCTGTAGGGCGGCTGCCCCGGGATATATTGGAGCAGAAAATGTCGTGTGGCTGCACTATAAAGACAAATCAACTCCCTCAGAGCCTGGAGAGCAGCAGAGCCCTGCCCCTGCCTCCCCTGGGCAGCCCTGGAACTTGAGCGTGGAGCTGTGAGAACGCTCTGCTAAAGGGGGGAGGATGGAGGTGACTAAATGCAGCCGTCGGGCAGGTCTGTGCTCTGGAAAAGCTCCCGTGGCCGTGGGTGAAGGCGTGAGCTGCCTCCCTGAGCTGGGGGGGGAGCCTCGGCCACGGGGAGGGAAACCCAGCAGCGCAGAAAGGTCCCTACTCAGTGGCGGGGGGGTGGGGTTTGCTGCTGTAATTACCCCCTGCAGCTTGGCTGGGGGTGGATTTGGGGGGTGAGGGGTGCGTGGGGGCCGGGACCCCGCTGAGGGGGTTCCGTCCCCCCAGGGCTGCCCTCAACGGTGAAGCAAAAACACGGGAACATGGATTGTAAAGCCTCTTGACAACAAAAGTATTTTGAGCTTTGTGTTCTGTTGCAAAGGCTCTGGATTGTATTGAAGAAGCCTGTTTTCTTGTATCTGATGTAGAAACTCTATTTTCTTCCAAAGACACTATTTTTGCAGCTGTTTTTGAAGTTTGTATTTTATGTATGTTTTGCAAAGCTTCAAGAAGGAATGTTAGCTTTGGAGTTTTTTGTCTTGTGTCTAGAGGGTTGTTTTGTTTTTTGTTGTTTTTTTTTTTTTTTCAGATGCTGGTGTTGCCAGTTCAAATGAAACAAAATAAATATTTCAGGCATCCAAAGTCCATCTTGGGGCTTTAATATATATATATTGAATCTAAAGAGGGGGGTTGAGAGCGTTTAGCAGCTGTTGGAGCTGGGACCAGGCTCAGAGCCCTTTTCTGCGGCAGTGCCGCGCGCTGCTGCGCACCAGGGGCTTCATCCTGCCGGGCCTCGAAGAGTTAAAACGTCCCGCGGGTGCGGAGCCCCGCGGGGGGATTGGGGCAGCTCCCGGGGGCGGGCGGGCATTAGGACCTGCGCGACGTTTCCCACGGCGCATGCGCACCCCCCAACGGCTCGAGTCGCTCAGGCGACGGCGGGAACGCCAACCAAGTTACCGCCCGTTCGCTCCGCCCCCGGCCGGCCGACCAATCGCCGCTCTCCACATCGGGGTACGTCACCTGAAGGGCCGCGCTCGGTGAAGGTCCCCGGTGTGGGGCTGTCCCGGGCGCTGCCTGCCCCGCGGGGCGCCCCGCGGCCGTGACCGTGGCCGAGCGGCGGCCGGGGCGGCCCCGAGTGGCCCCGCCGTGTCCCCCCGTGTCCCCCCGCCGCCGGCTCCGCCCGCCCCGCCGCGCCGCCCGCCCTCCTCCGGCCCGCGGCGGGCCCGGCAGCGCGGCGGGGCGGGCCGGGCGGGCCCTGGACCGCAGGCGGGCGCATGAGGCCGCCCGCTCCGCCGCGGGACGCGGGGCTGGACGCGGGGCTGGAGGCGGCCCCGGCGCTGAGCGGCCGCGCTGCCGCCGCCATGGGAGCGACCGGGCCCGGGCCCGGCCCCGGCCACGGCCCCGCGCTGCCCGAGCGGCTCCGCCTGCCCGTCTGCTTCCTGGGAGTCTTCGCCTGCTACTTCTACTACGGCATCCTGCAGGAGAGCATGTGAGCGCCGGGGGGGAACCGAGGGGGGAGCCCCGGGGGGCGGCCGGGAGCGGGGAAACCCAGGGGGTGGCTGGGAGTGGGGCTGACCCTGGGCGATGGGGAGCTGAGGGAGGGGACCGGGAGGGGAGAGCCCCGGGGGGTCCGGCAGCGGGGGACCCCTAGGTGAGGGGGGAGCTGAGGGAGGGACTGGGAGGGAGGGGAGCAAAGGGGGATCCCCTGGGGGTGGCTGGCGGGGGGGGACCCCGGAGGGTCCGGGACAGGGGGATCCCTGGGTGAGGGGGAGCCGAGGGAGGGCACCGGGGGGCGGGGGGGTGTGAGGAAAGGGGGAGCCCCGGGAAGGAGGAGCCTCGGGTGGTGGCTGAGAGGGGGGGAATCCCGGGGGAGGGAACCGAGATGGGAGGACCCCCGGGTGAGGAGGAGCCGAGGGGGGGGCGGCTGGGAAGGGGGGAGCCCCAGGGGTGGCAGCTCCGGGCTGAGCCCCAGCGCTAACGCCAGCACATCCCGCAGCACGCGGGGACGGTACGGGGAAGGCGCGAAACAGGAGAAGTTCAAGTACGCCCTGACCCTGGTGTTCATCCAGTGCGTGATCAACGCCGCCTTCGCCAAGCTCCGTAAGTCGGCTCTCGGGAGCTGCCGGGGCTGCTCGCGGTGTTTTCCCCCAGGGAGGGGCCAACTGCCGCCACCCTCGCGGCACGGCATCGCCGTCGGGTGTCTCTGGTGACGTCCGGGCAGCTCTCCCGATCGTTCTTCTCCCTTGTTTATCTCCCAGTGATCCATTTTTTCGACGCTGTCAAGGCGGATCGCACCCGGAGCTGGCTCTACGCCGCCTGCTCGCTCTCCTATCTGGGCGCGATGGTTTCCAGCAACTCGGCTCTGCAGTTCGTCAGCTACCCGACTCAGGTGGAGCGGGGGCCAGGGGGGAGGCGGCGTTAACGTATGGCTTAGCACCCTGGTACCCCGAAAACGGGCACCGTGCTGGGGAAGCTGGTGCTGTGGCAGAGCTGGAGAAGTGACAGGGGAGGGAAACTGTGGGTTTGCGGCTTGTTTTTTTACAGAACTGCCTTTGTGGGGCTGCGTCGGTCAGCGCTGGGTGTGTGGAGAGGGGTTAAGAGATCTCAGGCTGGTCCCGAAAGGGAAGAGCAATCCCTAGAAACAATGGGAATTTGCTAACTGGGGAGTTGGTGCTGATGTTGGAAGCCTTGAGGTGGTTTCTGAAACCATCGCTGTTCATTTAGCAGTTGCTCTGTGCTGGGGTTTTTCCACCTTTTTTTTTTTTTTGTGAGGTGTCAGCTGTGGTTTAGGCAGGGAGCCATCGGGGTGGTCTCGCCCGTGCGGGGCCATGACTGCTCTCGTTGCAGGTGCTGCTACGCAAACAGTTAACACGGTCTTTCTTTTCCAGGTCCTAGGCAAATCTTGTAAGCCCATTCCAGGTAAGCAAATTTCACGTTTCTTCTTGTACATTTGTGTGGATTTCTCGTGCCCTCAACAAGGATCTCAGCTGTCAAAACAGCCTCTCCCCTTCTGTCCCCTCTGCCACGGGAAGAGCAAATGGTTTTTTGTCCGTGTGTTGTTCTGTTGGGTCAAGTTAAAATCCCCGGCGAGGGTTTTGGGAGCGGTTTGTGACGTTGCTTCTTTACAGTCATGCTTTTAGGAGTGACTTTGCTGCGGAAGAAGTATCCACCCGCCAAGTACCTCTGCGTCCTCTTGATAGTTGCAGGCGTGGCCCTGTTCCTCTACAAACCGAAGAAGGGGGCCGGGAGCGACGATCACGTCTTTGGTTACGGAGAACTCTTGCTGGTGAGCACTGCCCGCGCGCAGGTAGCCCGGCTGGGGTGGAGGAGGAACGAGCAGTTACAACCCAGATAAGGCCGTGGCCTTTGTACCTCAAGTGTACCCTAAAGCTGGTGTGGAAACACTTCTGCAGGAGGGCACCTGGGTTTGAGGGGTGCACGTGTCAGCTGTGGTACGAGACAGCGCGTAAGTGTGTGCACATCGCTCTTAGCAAATGTTTTGAGGCCGTATAGTTGGTATTTCGTAGGGGATTGGGATGTGAAAAGAGGAGGGAGGATGCTCAAGGTCTTCCTCAAAGAGAAGGAACGAAGAATGAAGGTTTTCTTTGCTGTCTCTTCTTCTCGTAGCTGCTGTCCTTGACCTTGGACGGGCTGACTGGTGTTTCTCAGGACCACATGAGAGCTCACTACCAAACGGGTTCCAATCATATGATGCTGAACGTTAACCTCTGGTCCACGTTGTTCCTGGGGGCTGGTAAGGAACCCCCTGCAAAAACCGCAGCCGCCGCGCCCCGACACCGCCCCAGGACACGCCGGGGGAAGGGACCTTCTGTCCTGCTCCAAAAACGGGCTTAGAACACTTTCTGCAAATAACTCGATGTTTTGGGTTGGGGTTTTTCTCCTTGTAGCTGAGCTGTCGGTGTAGCTCTCCCCGTGCCCACCAGAGGACACCGCTCCACTCACAGAGTGGCCGCCCAAATGCCTGGTGTGTCCCCCCCCCCCCCCCCGGGAAGCCCTTCCCGCGGGCTGGCTCTCTGCTCCAGCCCCACAGCTCGCCGGCACTGGCAGAGAAGCAAACCCTGTCAGTGTAGCTTTCTGCTCCAATTAGAGAGGAGCACCTCGAATTAATTGCTAGGGACTGTTTTGTCAGAATTGGATCTGCAGTTGATGATCGCTTCTTTCATTAATTAACTAGGAAGGTGATCACTCTTTCTCCTGTTCTCTTTGTTTTCTACTGTGTGGAATGCCGTCTTTGCTTTTAGTAGCTCCTGTTATGAATCACAGAATCACAGGCTGGCTTGGGCTGGAAGGGACCTTAAAGCCCCCCCAGTGCCCCCCCTGCCCTGGGCAGGGTCCCCTTCCCCCAGCCCAGGGGGCTCCCAGCCCCGTCCAACCTGGCCTTGAACCCTTCCAGGGAGGGGGCAGCCACAGCTGCTCTGGGCACCCTGGGCCAGCGCCTCACCCCCCTCACAGGGAACAATTTCTGCCTTAATAAATCAAATCTAAATCTACCCTCTTGCAATTTAAAACCGTCCCCCATCGTCCTACCCCCACCCCCTGATCCAGAGTCCCTCCCCACCTTTCCTGCCCCCCCTTTAAGCCCTGGGAGGCCGCTCGAAGGGCTCCCCGGAGCCTTCTCTTCTCCAGGCTGAACCCCCCAACTCTCTCAGCCCGGCCTCCCAGGGGAGCTGCTCCAGCCCCCCCAGCATCTCCGTGGCCTCCTCTGGCCCCGCTCGAGCAGCTCCGGGTCCTCCTGCTGTTGGGGGCCCCCGAGCTGGGCCACCCCAGGTTGGGTAAACTGAAATCACACTGTGTTGGCTGCGGCTGCCCGGGCTGCCTCTGGGCTCGTAATTCCTGCTTTTCATCCTGATCTTTCTTGCAGGGATACTGTTCACTGGAGAGCTCTGGGAGTTCTTGAGTTTTACAGAACGCTACCCCAGCATCATTTACAACATCCTACTGTTCGGCCTGACAAGTGCGCTGGGTCAGGTAAATACACCTCCCTTGTTCTGCCGTCCCCACGGGGCCGTGTTTGCGCAGTTGGGAGACAGCAAAGTGAGGCTGCTTCGCTTTCCGTTGCTCTGCGTGTTGCTCGCTTTCTGTACACACTGCCTTTGGAGTAAAACTGGTTTAAGTTTGTATGCCAATAATCAGGATTTGAAATAAGATTCTGTCGGCTCTAGTTCGATGGCTTTTCATCTGAAACTATGATCCATGTTGTACTTTTTCCAGTCCAAGTGACAAAGGCGTCTTTTTGGTTTTTACAGAGTTTTATTTTCATGACTGTGGTATACTTCGGACCTCTGACTTGTTCCATCATCACCACAACCCGCAAATTCTTCACCATTTTAGCGTCCGTCATTCTATTTGCCAATCCCATCAGTACCATGCAGTGGGTGGGGACAGTCCTCGTGTTCTTGGGTAAGTCTGCGAAGCAAACGCCTGAGCTCTGTCCCCTGATAACTTAAATGGACACGAGGTGTAGTGAAGGGAGAGCTAACAAAAGATGCTGGTCAAAAAAAAAAAAAAAAAAAAAGGTAAATATATTAGAATACTCGATGGAAGAGCGCGTTAGTAGCCTTACAGCACAGGAAAAGAGGAACGTGACTTCTAGCAGACCTGTCTGGTCTTTTCCCAGACACGCACACACGGGGTAAGTCCCTGCCTCTGTCAGAAATAAGCTTAACAGCACCCATTTACGAATGGTCACTCAAAGTTCCTTGTTTTATGTTTGTATGAAGAACGTGAAGAAATTTTCTATGCACATGGATTATTTTTATCTCTCTGCAGGCCTTGGACTCGATGCCAAATTTGGAAAGGGAGTAAAGAAGACATCGCATTGAGGAAATAGTTGATCTCTGCAGTTGGAATGAACTTTTAATTTATTGTCTTGTACCTCAAAATCTGTTATGAAACTGGACTCAGGATAGGTAATCAGAAGGGGAGTGTTTGGATTTTTTTTTTTGTTTTAGTTTTTTATTTCTAAATTGTCTTAAAAGTATAATACTTTAGTTTTAACTGTAATTAAGCTTTTTTTTTTTTTTTTTCTTCTGTAATCAAAGCTGCAGTACTAGATCCTAGCAGCAGGATTAAATTCTTGCCTTAACAGGAGAAAAAACTTCATATCTTTATTAAAGAGACAATGGCCACTTTTCTAGAACTTTAATTTCAGTATTGTTGGCTGATCTTGGGGAGAAATGGCACACTTCTCTCCAAGGAGAGGGCTAGTCTTAGAATTATGTTAGTTCTTTGGCATGGCCCAGAAAGATCCCTGGATTAAAGGCCTGTGTTGAAGACCACCCCCTCTTCTGATTGCTTGTATGGTTTTTCCATAACTGAGTTGGTGGAGCAGCCAGTTGGATGTTCTTCCATTAAGGTAATACATGTAAACACCAAGATGCGTTATGGCCTTCATCCGAGCTCTTCTAAACCAGGAGCAACTCTTGGCATATGTATAAGTTTACAGGAAACCTTTTTAACCAGTGGGGCCCAAATTAATTCTTTTCATCCCCCTTGCTGATGAAGGCACAGGACCCTCTGCTGCTAAAACCATGCCAAGGCTGTGTGACAGCGGCTTCTAAACGTTGAAAGAGCCCTTGCTAATTAACCGCCACCACAGTGAGCCTTCGCACACCCGCCCCGAGCCCAGGCTAGCTCCCCAGTGCTGTACGGGGAGGAGTTATTACCATAATGATGCCTTTAGAGTTGGAGAGCAAAATTCTCCAAAGAGCAAACTTTACACATGAAAGCATGTTTCTACCAGCTGTCGCTTGGTCTCCATCTGTTCTGTGGCTTTGGCCTTTTGCCCCTCCAGATGGGATCTTGATCTCTTTCCTGAGCGGCTGCTGTAAGTCTCTTTCTCTCCATCCCCTGCTTCCCCCACCCCTCCAGTGATTCTTACCACTTTTTTTTGGCCTCAAATTTGGTTTTCATTTAATCTGTTTTATTATCCCGTAGTTCTACTCCAACAACACGTTTCTTGCAAAATTAAACCCGAGGCTATTAAAGGGTCTTTCTCACTCACCTTCACCTCTTTGCTGACTTACATTGCCTTAAAGGTCAAGTGATAAGTAGCAGACAAACATTCTCAGTAGTAGAGAATCTTGAAGCAAAAGCTTCTGACTTAACTCCATGAATACTGCCTGACAAACACCATGTGCTGGCATCTGCCACTGTATGGAGATTCTGGCCTCCTTTGAGACCGTTAGGCTTCCCAGTATCTCTAAGGTAATGAATCCCATTCCCATTTTATAAAAGGGAGCAGAGAAATTGCACGACTTGTTCATGAATACTGTGGCAGAGATAAGAATTATCGTTTGTGTGATTTAACCATAAAAGCATCTTTTCTCTGTGTTTATAGGACTTGCACTCCTCTCTCTCTTAGCACTATCTTAAATTTAACCGATTCTCAAACTCAGCAACCAAAATCTGCAAAAAGATTCTAGGCAAGCTCTCAATTCTATTAGTTTTGCAGATTTGTTTTCCCTTCTATTAAACTAGTAATCTAATATAGGAATTGACCCAGCTCCCACATCACTGTGCAAATATGGACACCTGAAAAACACATTATAAATCACTCCCTCAACCATCCGCTTCCTTGTGATAATCTTGGAATTTCTGTTCAAACATGTCACCTGTTCAGAATATCTGAGTCATTGCTGTTACAAACCACTATTCTGTTCTAGCAAATGTGCTACAAATCAAAGGGAAATTGCTCCATTTTGATTCCACAGAAGCAGAATTGCTTATTAGCAATAATTTTGTACTGACTAAAGCTCTTGAGAAGGTAGATGATCAGAAATTGAGGGAGTCAGATAGCAGCAGCCTTTCTCCACTGTGCTGTCAGTCTGTTATTGATGATCTTTTTATTTACAGCATCTCAAGCCAAATTTCCCCTTCTGTGTAGAGACTGCTCTTCTGAGCTCTTCACCCCCTTTTACCCTGAGTCTAGGTGTAGCTCTAGGAGAGGCCATGTCTTAAAAAAAAAAAAAAAAACCCAAACACAAAAACCACACCAAAAACCCCCCACCCAAAACAAACAAAAAAACCCACCCACCAAAACAACAAAAAGCCCAAACATTTTGTTAATTCTTTTCTTAACCATTGAAAAGAGCCACCTAGTTTCAAGGGAACTCTTGCCCAAAGCCCCAGGTCTGTCCCTGTCCCCACACTGCTGCAGCCCCAGTGACCAGCAGAAAGAATGAAGCTGGGACCTTCCTAGGGTCTATTTTCTAAGCCAAGATCTGTCTACCCGTATCTTCAACTTGTCTGTATTCAGAGCACAGATTTAAAGATCAGTCTGCCAAGAAGAAAGAAAATAAAGGAGATTTTTCTCTCTCCTGATTGCTGCAGGCTCCCTTGACCCACTTTAACTCTAAAGCCTATTCTGGTATTGCTCCAGCTTGGTTCTTGCAGCACCTCTGACTCTTAGTCAATAAGAATTTCTTAAAACAAAGGCAGCTTTTGTACCTACCTTGGGTCTGAATCCTTTGGATTTCCTTGGACAGCTTGCTGTCTTCTCTTCAGACCTCACGTACTGCGAGATCCCAGAGGAGGCTACAAAAGCAATTCAAGAAGCTATTTTCAAATCAGCACTGGCTTTTCTTCTTGGACAGTTTTAACAACACTGCCACAAAACAGGTCCCCAGCACTGAGCTGCCAGGAGGATTGCTGTAATACCTCTCCCCAGTGACAGACTGGTTACCACATTTTGAGAAGCCTGCCTGGTGGCCTTTGGTGTACGTTGCTGCTTGAGCTCATCTGTCTCTATGAATAAAGACAGGTAAACTCCAAAGGAGCTGGGATCCAATAAAGTTTTCATCCTCTCTGTTACTTTTTCCTATTAGAAATGGTAGCTGCTCTTCGAGGCACCGTTTGCAGAGGGATAATTATGTTCAGTAGCTTTTGGCTTTGTTCTTGTCTGTGATTTTTTTTTTTTATAAACAGCGCAAGTGTCTTCAGAGGCAATGCTTGAATTTCTGGTGAGGTGTCAGGAAAGGCTTTCTGTCTTCAAGTAAGGAGATTAGTAATGTACAAAGTGTTGACAGAAATTACTCTAGTTTATCTAGATACTGCATAACATCTAGGGTATGGCCATGCAAAGGAATCTTTAACTACTGGCAAGTTATATTTTGCTTATTCAAAGAAGGAACCGTTCTGAGGTACATGCTCACCTGTAAGCAGTTTAGAGGTTTCAAGGGATTAAAACACAGTGCCCAGGTTCTCCGCCAACAGTCTGGGCTTCACCAGTTCTACTATGACTTGGTTTGTCTCTCTGCTTTTTTTCAGACATTCTCGTTTATTAGAAGGGTGCAAATATAGTTAAATAAAAAAAGACTACCTTGTTCTTCTTAGTCCTGTGTGCTTGATCTGTCTTTCTTTCCCTAGCCATAAGGAAGCAATAGTTTTGTGATAATGCCATATTTTCCAGAATTAAGTTTTTGTAAAGTGTAAAACATCACCCTTTGCAGCCAAGATGGTAGGTGCTTTGAACACTCACTGTGTAATATTTTGAGTTTGGGTTGACTTGCCAAGGAGTTACTAAAGGGAATGCTTGTGGTTTGCTCCTTCCTTTGCAGATGTGACTGGCCTTTCTCTGAGTAGAAGAGGAAGAGAAATCAGTTGAGTAGGTGATTAGTTTATTAAGTGCCTTAGACAAAGCCCTGCAAGTGCAAGACATGAAGGTCAGACTGAGAAGTTATGAGGAGATTCCATCTTCTATTTTTTGTTGGCTCCAGAGTCTCAACCCTGAGTCCATTTATGACTCAGCAGTTACCAGCAGGGGGAACTCTTATTTCAATCATTTTCAAGAAATACAAGGAGAAAAACAACAAAAAAGCAGTTCCTGTTTAATTACTGATATAACTGTACTTCTAGAGTCTTTGTGCTGATAGTAAAAACATAATATGGAAATCAAGGTCTTACTCCATTTTTATTCTGCTTACTTTTTTTTGACCATCATCCTCAGAGACTACACTGAGGCTAAGTCATTAGAAGCTTTAAGAAAATCACCATCTCTTCTGCACAATGGCCTTTGTTACAAATAGCATGAGTAAAAATAAGTATGTGCACACCTGCATGTCCTGTTGTCCTCGTGTAACACAAACAGCTGGTGTCCTGCACAGCAGCAGCCGTTGGCATCACAGTCAACATTTCTGAAAACATTTCTGCCAGAATTCTCCAAGGAACCTTGTCAGCCCTTGGTGGTTCCAGGGAGATGAGAGGAGTCACACACGTACTGAGAATAAACAGCAGATTACATTGCTGCAGTGTTTGTGCCTGTTGTCCCTCCAGGAGGAACTCGTTGATGTATCAGCTAAGAAAGGTGAAGTTTTTATTTCATAGCTAACTGAGGCATGGCATCCACAGGGGGGAAAACTTGGCAGCTGCGTTCCTTTTCCTTTCATCTTCCTTGTTTTTACGAGCTCCTTCTGCAACTCCATTAGCAGATGTTTAAAAAAACCCAAATGTTTAGAGAGTGCCTAGAATAAGGTAGATGATACTGTATGCACGTATATTCTGTAGAGGCAGAAATAATTGTGTAATGCTGATAATTTTCTGGTCACAGGATAGTAAATTCTCATGCAGTTAAGGAAGTTATTGAAATCAATGAATTGTGAATCTAGAAGACAGCACTTAAAAACCCCAACCCTAATGGTCTTTCTTCAAGAACAACTAGGATTTATGCTGTGCCGCTCAATTAAGAGTCGGTGATTATGTGATCTTATCCTGCAGGATTCCACAGACTTGCAAGCGAAATGGGAATTCCTATCAGATTTCACAGACAGAAAAGCACATGAGAATCAAAATAGCACCCATCAGGGAAAACACATGCTAGCTTTAGAGTCCCTCTTTAGCATGTAGTAAGTTCATGCTGACTAGCAGTAGGAAGAAGTTTGTAAGGCCAGTAGAGATGGGATATGCATTTGAAATATATACTCTTATAATAAACACTTTCATACTTAGATTTACAGTTCATAACTAATAGAATTTCAGCGACAGTGAGCCAGGGATGCAGCTAAAGAACAGGAAAACCTGTAATTGCCTCAGACTGAAACTGAGACAGCTAGATGTCGCCCTGAAATGAAGTATTAACGGTTTTAAATATTTTAAGTAGAAAATTAAGATGAAAACTGCATTTAAGGCTTCAGAATTAAATAAGCAAAAATGATCATATGGCTTTTTTTTCCCTTTATCTTGCTGTGCTTTTTTTGCAGTGCTTGCAATGTCATTTTCATTATTTCAGTATATTTATGCACATATAGGATCCTGCATGCTTTTAATACCTTCTTCATCATCACACTTCAGCTACTTTGGTAAGCTCACAGCCTATTTCCAAAGTTTTTATGAGCAATTCACCCTTTTTAAAGAAAAAAAAGGTTAAGAAGACAGCACAGTTGTCATAGACAGTACTTGTTGAAATACTGACTCATGCACTAGAGATGTTTTGCTAGGAGAATGCAAAAAAAGGCTGCCCAAGTCAGGGATGGTGGTGTGTTTTTTCCTGGAAGTAGGTTCAGGTCCTTTACTGGGTCTTCAGTTACTCCAGGAGCAGTATGGATGTGCAGCATTATGCATTCCCAAGAGCGGTTCTATTAGCACAGACCAGATGCTGAAGAATCCATAAAAGAAAATCCAGCCACGTCAGTCATGGAAACCTTCCATCACTTGGAATGAGCACTAAGTCTTTTGCTTGACTGAAACCTGAAAATGGGTAGGAAGTGAAATATTTTAATAGGCATGCATAATTCTGGGGACAGCAAGGACAAATTTCCATAATGGTTCTTGTACACAGGGATTTGCTTTTCTGAAGGTAGGACTAACACCCCACACTTTTTAATCAAGTGTTGTTGTAATTTCCCCTTTATAATAGCAATAGAAAGACAACGCTAAGGAATCTTGCAGCGGCCCTGGAACATGAATAGAGGGCACACCAGGCCCATCTGTAATGGCCTCTTCCCACTGATAGCAGAAAACTGTCCTCCAAAGGACTATTTCCCACCTAAAATTAAACATTACAAGACAATAAAAATCTCAACCCTCTCAAGTACACTCAAACAGTAGGGATCATTGTCTGCAGTTTCTGTGGTAGTGGAAAAAGTAGACAGTTGCATTTGTGTCCTCTGGCAGCATGATTGCCTGACATTCATTAGCCAAACTTCTAAAAATCACTTCTCAGAACAATGCAAATGGTTTTCCAGTCAAAGGCTGCCTCTCTTATTCCTTATCAGCTTTGAGGAGCAGAGTCTGCTTTTCAGACACATTTGCAGCCTGCTCTGATTTAGTTTATTCTCAGAATTAAAGCGTCACTTTCTCCCAAGGTCTTGAGAGATCTCACTCAGTGAATGCAATAGGCTATAATTTGTTAATTAGTTTTACAGTGAATGTGGCAGGAAAAACAAAGTCCTTGTTTCAGGATTCAGAAACACCACCAATTTGGATTAGCAGGTTCTGCCCCTGCCTGGGGACCTGTGTGGCAATCCAGTAACCTAAAGTGGTTCAATGATTACTGAGTTTTTATTTTTGTATGAACAGCTAGACTAGATCTGCAAAAAGAAAGTGTTCACAGCCACACCTGGAGAGATGTAAGACTCAGATCTGGGCACACTAAACACGGCTGAATTAGCAAATTCCCTAAATAATGAGGCCTGAGATGTATCAAGTTAGGCACTTTAATGCATAGTTTTGACATAAGCTTTATTTTCCCTAGTTTGATAATTTCTAAGATTTTCTTTTCCCCTCTGTCTATAATGCATTAAGGATATTATCACTTAAAATCCCAGGGGTACCGGTTAAGATAGCTTCATTAATATTTCTAAGCAGCGAGACACCCTTATCTGATAATTGAGGAAATGCCCAGGAAGAAATTAATTATTTTTGCAGTCAGTAAATACTTTAGGAAGTTTGAGTTACACAAAGCTTGGGAACCCATATAGGAGGCAACATTTCATTTAATCATTTATAAACTTACCCAGTCACAGAAAGGGACAGCACAGTCCAGTGGAGAAACAAACAAACAAAAGTGTTCTGCAAGTGCTAGAATTAGCAATACCTAGTTTCCTACAGATTTGAGATTTGTGGGTGATTGTGGCTCCCATTTCAGCTTTCTCCATAGTTAGCATATTCACAGAGTTTCTCCCCCACACGGATGCACTAGTGCTTATGAAACTGGAGTGTAATGTCTTCAAGCACTTGGGGAGGTCCCGTTCCTCCATCCAACCCCTACTTTAATAGAATGTGGTAGAATGCAATGAACTTTGAGACTTCTACTTTCTTTTAATTTGGTTGGATAATGCTGCTGAATTAGAAGTTATTGAGGGCAGGAAGATAGGAACATCAACAACATAAGCTTTGTCTCCTTGAGAAATCAAGTTAAAGTGATCATGCAACTAAAGACTAGAGCATACAGGTCTCTACAATAGGACCAAAACACTGCATGGACAACCTCACTTTTGGTTACTTCATGGCTTCTGAATGTGTGGTTTTGAAATCACTGTTCTAGAAAACAATTTTCTATGCAATAACTGAGTGCATCTTCAAATTAAATTAAACATCTGAATACTCATTACTAAAATTTTGGTTGCAGTAACTTAATGCCATAATAGTCATTGCTGGACATTACTAATGAGAAGGCAAAACCAAAGAAATTATTAGCTCCACATTAAGCAGTTCAGTTCTGTAAGAATATTCTAGAGTAGCAATATTTAAGTCACAATTCTTGCTAAAATTTGTGCAATAAAGTACATATTGACTGCTAATATTAATCTTTATCATTGTATTGAAAGCAGAAATTTGGAGAGCTCTCCTCCCTTCCACCAGCATTCAAAAATACAACAAGACTAAACTGTCATCTTGTTATGAATGCCAATGCTGAGTAATTGAAAAATTATTAGTTCGTATATATGTTAAAAATCCTGCCTTTCCCTTAATTGTAGTTATTCCCTGCAAGGTCCAGACTGCAAATGCATGTTGATGTTCTCCCTTTACTACATCACTTCTCTTAATTGTTCCCTACTTTTTTCTTGATTTACTTCCTTTTTATATTTTTCTTTTTATTTTTGCAGCTGTTTGAGCCCTTTATGCTCATTCATACTTTCATGCTCTGTTATACAGAGTGAATCTTACCCTTGATTTCCAAGTCTTTTGTCCAATTATCATTCTGCACCTGTAGAAGGGGAAAACAGGAGTGATAAAAACCTTCAGACTGTTGCAGTCCATTCCCACTTCTTCACTAAGGAAGATTGCTGTGATAACATTGAAGATTCATTCTTGTTTGTGGAGAAAAGCTGGTTTGAATAAATCAGAGGACTTTTGACAATGTTCTGAGCTCCTCTACTCTGCAGGTGCTAGCAGAGTTAACAGTGTCTTGGAGAAAGGAAAATAATTTCACAGACCATTAGGGCTGGTGGGAAGCAGCAGGATCAGGTTTTAATGAATACAGGATCAAAAGCATCTTAAAGCAAACCTGCACTGAAAACAAGAGCAGGCTCATCAGGGAAGACAGGAGATGCTTCTAACGAGAAACAAAGCACCAACTCAAAGACATGAGGGAGTCACTTTCTCACAATAGTGCATTTTAAAGTATAATTTCCTCTTCTGAAAAATTAGCTTTGGTACTTTTCCAATACATGTAAAAATAGCACTATGAACAGATTCCCTGCAATTAAAATCTCCAAGTCAGAGTTTTTCCAAAGGAGGTCAAGATTTTTTAAACTATGTTTGTTTTCTCACAAGTAAAAATACTTTTTAATCACAACAGCAACTAAGTTAAGTTATCTTACAGTATTGTGAAGTTAGGAAAGCAAATTCTGACAAGAAATATGCAGAGCAGTAAGCTCAGACCTGGGAATGGTTTGTATGTGAAAAAGGAGACTATCCCATCTCTACCTGCTGGCACTTTCTCACAGAAGTGCTGATTGTTATTGTGGTTTGTACTGAATTTAACGCTGTTGTGTATGTGGTGGCTGTACTAGAGCAAATTTACCCCTTCATGCTCCAACGGACACAGGTGCTACTGGATCCAAATGCAGTGAAGGTGGGAACTAATTGTTTAAGTGCTCAGGCATTGAGAGTTCTGAGCACATGCATAACCTGAAACTGGCAGCACTTAAATGAATTTTCAGGTCAGAAAGGGCAGTACCTGAAAAATTTAGGTATCTGTAATTTTATACATCTGTTGAAAAAGAATAGTTTTCAGTCATAAGTCTGATCTGGATGCGTAAAATCCACCTAATTCCTATACTCCCAGATTTCTGCTTTGAGACTGGAAGCAACTAGTTTCCCAATTTTGCCTCTTTTGTTTTAATATACAAATAAGCTCCTTAACTTTTCCATACTTTTAAGGGTTTTAAAAGATGGGTAATATTTGACTTACCCTCCTACTCCGTGCAACACTAAAGATTACTTAATTTAGAGTGAAGGAAAAGTGAGGATGCTGGACTCAGTGTCTAGCTTAGTACTTGCTATTCTGTTAAGTTAAAATTTGAGGAAAAGGGATGCAAAAGAAAAAGCTCACCAGTTTCCTTTCCCTGAAGGATACTCAGACTTACATGGTTCAAAGAAGCCAGTATCTCAGAAGCTTTTCCTTTCATCACAAACCATATCAGCACTTACTGTCCTCTAGTGTGCTCTGCTAGTGCCAAAGCTTAGACTCCTTTGACAAGATAAATAATAACGTAGGCTTTGTACTGGGCTAGGTGAGAGCGTGACATTTTCACAATGGAGATACCCCAGCAGAAGTCAGACTGGAAGGATAACCTATTAGATGTTAGATTTTTAATTGGCTATGGCAAATATTACTAGATCACAATGAAACCACTAAAGCCTATAATATGAAGATTATTTTTGTGACTTAAATTTAAAACAAGCAGTAACCATACCCTCAAACTAAACATCGATTCCATTACTGTTTGTGAATATACCACAGCATTCCTTTTGCGCTACATATGGAAAATGAGTTATATAGATGTCTCACTGGTATAAGAAGAGGTGAATCAAGCAACTCGCAATGTTTGTGTGACTGTTACATATATAAAAGCCTCATTAAGTTCCCCCAGTGATTGGAGATAGGTTTTGTTTTGAAGGGGTTTGTTTGTTTTTGTAACAAAGATAGCAAATACAGGAAATAATTAAATAACCATGTTTTCAAACTCTCCTGATCACCAGGCGCCTATATGAGATTTTAATTAGTGCTGCATTTTCAATAACTCTGTATCCCTACGTGTTGCTGATTCTTTCCTGGATAACAGGGAGATAATTATGAGGATCCTGTTTTTCAGTCTCTCACTAAAGGGACGGCTGATATATTTAATCATGATGTAGAAATGCTGGCAGCTTTCTCTGAGTTCAGCCTCTCTCTAATTACATTTCTAGATTTTTAGTAAATTGAAAGGGAAAATGTAGGAACAAAATAATTAAAACCAAAGAGGAAGTGAATATTAAAAAGCAGGAGCTGTTTAAAATTCTTGCACACAACTCTCACGGACATCAGTTTAATCAGCTTCACATAAAAATCAAACTTACACGTACACAAAAGTAACACCTTCAAACCTATATGTACATTACCATTTACTGGTTCTTTTCGTGCAGAAAAAAAACACCTGTCTTTTATGATTCAGATGATACTGAGAATTATACCCAGATTGAATGCATTTGAGAATTTGGTACTCTCACATGCACAGTACTGTCAAAACACACACATCAACATATCCCCATGCAAGTTTTCAAGGTTCAAGCAATACCTGCACCTAGCAATTGTCCAGTAGTTTTATTACAGAATTGTATCAAAGACAGAAGGTGGTTGGATTTGTGAAGAGGAAATTACAGTATTTCACTTCTATCTGCCACCGAGGAGGGCAAAATTGACCTTAAATAACTTTTTCATATGGAGGAGAGGTAAAATTCAATCTTCATTTTCACAGATACCCAATTTAATTTTCCACTTCCTGGGAACAAGAGAATTTTGATCAGGAGAACGTCATAAACTGTAACAGAGGTTGACCTCCCTACTGCTAAGTGACACACAGCCAGTGTTGAATTAAAGGAGACATTTCTGTTTGTTCTATCTAGAAAACCCTTGCATGAAGACCCTGCAGTTTAAGAGCTATAAGGGAGGGGAGAGGGGAATCTCTTTGTTTTCTCTAAAACTGGTGCTGTAATTTCCTTTTGTACTTCAACTATAAGAGGATAAATACATCAGTAAAAATCCATAGTTTATATTGGGAATATAAAATCCAGGCTAATAGATAGGGTATGAAAATTAGTTTCTAGGAGCAATGTGTAGCCAGAGTAGGAACACTAATACCAATTCTGTACTTCCCAAGAGGCAGCTTTATGGCATTTCTTCATTACAATGCAGAATTACCTGCTGTTTTGTCACCATGGGCAGCAGTTTGTGAAATGAAGGAATGAAGCAGGGTCCAAGAATTGGTCATGACTTGGATGAGATACTTGCCAGGAAAACCCAGGACACTGCAGAAAATGTTAGCAATAAAACAGGCAATACTCTCCGAGTCAGTAGTTGAGAAATGTGGCAGCCTGGTGTACAAGATCAATTGTGCTATGAGAAGCAGCATTTTTTATCTGGGAGAAAGAGAGAAAAAGACTTCGCATCTTTCATTTAAATAAGTGTAGCTGTGATATGTATTGTGTAACCTGGCTAATCTGGTTATTGAGGTGCTTTGTGCATAATTGTATTAATTCACTATAACACAAGACTGAAACTGGCAGAAAAGGAAGGCTAGCTCTGGATAAGCTTCTCCACAAACATTTAAGTAATTAAGGACTATTAACAATGAAAATTTTGCTTCCTCTGGTTGCAAACCATTACAAATTAGAAGACCCATACATAAACAAGATCTTAGGATCACAGGATAATTTGAGTTGGAAAGAACTTCAGGACATCATCTGGTCCAACATGCTCAAAGCAAGATCACCTGTAAGATCTGACAAAGTTGCTCAGGGCTTTATTTAATCAGGCCTTGACAACCTCCAATAGAGACCGCCTAATCTCTCTGGGCAACCTGTCCAAATGCTCATGATTAAAAAATTTCTTCTATTCAGTCTAAATAGCTCTTGATTTTGCTCATTTCTTATCCTACTGCCATGCGTCACTAAGAAGTGCCTGGCTCTGGTTGAAAACCCCCTTGTAGGTACTAAAAGGTCTGTAAGGTCTCCCTTCAGCTTTTGATCTAGGCCCTCAAATGACAGACATAAAGCATGTTTGCTTTATAATCCTTTTCTCAAACAGTTAAAATAAATGCTGGGGCTTGAGAAAAACTCACCAATCATCCTCAAACTTGGCAAGAAATTCTCATCGTACACAGTGGGGGGAGCTGTTCTTTACAAGCACTGGTGACCCACACACTGAAGCAGCTCAGGAACCAGCCTGAAATGAAAGGGGAAGTAAGAGCTGTTTGTATGTTTACTAGACAAAAGTAAGCCCAACCCTTAAAGGAAGGGGAAGGAATGGTGAAACCAGGCCACACCACCACAGCAAAAGAAGCGCTCACCCTCTCACTTCCCCTAACGCTTCTCCCTTGGGTGACAGGATTTAAAATAAAACCCTACCCCAGCACCAAGCGGAGCCCTGTAACCCTCACAGAGCAGTAACAGTGGAGGCCTCCAGGACAGGGGGGAGCGCAGCACGATATTACTTCAGACATCCCAGCCCTCAGAGAGGTGTGAGGAAACGGCAGACGGCACACGCCGTAGTGCTCGACGCCTTTCCCGCCTTTTCCCTCACCTCCCTTGGGCCCCGCCCCTCCTCGCGCATGCACAATGCGCCTCCCCCCCCCCCCGCGTGACGTATGAAGGGGAGGCGGGGGCCGTTGGGGAGCCCGGATGTGTCAGTTTAGGGCAGTTATGAGGAGACCGCAAAGGGACAAGCGGCAGCGGTAGGCTTCTCAGGTGAGGTGGGAGGGGCCGTGCGGGGGAAAAAAAAGCAAAAATTGGGCGAGGACTGGAAACCTACCCAGGGATAGGGGGAAGGTCGTGTCGCCGTTCCCCCCACTGCTTGCCTCCGTGAGGTGTGTGTGGGGCAGCTCCTCTGTTTCTGCGGCGGCCTTGCCGCACGACGGGGAAGCGGGAGACCCGCACGGGCCAGCCCCCCCCCCCCCCACCTCCCTCCATCTCCTCCGCCGGCTGTTTAAATGGCACTGCGACAGGAGTAGCTCTTTGCCAAATAGTGAGCTCTGACACTTGAGGGGACCCCAAAGCACACAGCGCATGCTCTACCGCGCTGCCAGATTGTGAGCCACCGGGAGGGGAATCGGGAGAGCCCGGCCGAGCGCGCATGCGCAACGGAGGGATGTGTTTGGAGGCGCTGGCACATGCGCGGAAGGTGCACCAGCAGAGAGCAAGCTGGAAAGGGCTGTGGGGGGGGGGGTCTTGTGCGGGAGAGCGTGCGCATGCGCAATGGGCCGTGGCTGGGGAGGCGGCGTTGCTGGCGTGTTGCGCATGCGCGGCCGGGAGGGGAGCGCTGGGAACAGCCATATCCTGCCTGTTCGCCAACTCGGCGCCTGCGCAGTAGGCTGCTGCGGGGACTTGCGGAATAATGAGCCTCTGCATCTGCTCGGGGGGAAGCGGTGGAGGAAGACATGCTGCCAAATAGTGAGCTCCAACTGCTGGTGTTCTCCTAGGGGGGCTGGCTGCGGAGTGGGGGGGCAGAGTCCGGGGGCGCGATCCCCACCCGCTGCACCTGCTTGGGCCAGGGCTGCTTGGGCTTCCCAGCCTGCTTCGGAGCCGGGCTGCCTCTGGCGGTGGGAGTCACTGGTGGGGCAGGAGGTAAGAGCTGTGGGGAAGGGGGCAGGAGTTGGGAGAGGGATGGGTAGCTCGGCCGGGGAGGGGGGGTGGGAGCGGGGGAGCAGGGCCTGGGGGGGGGGGGGGGGGGCATAGGTGCGGCAGGGAAAAGTTGGTGGGAGGCCTGCTTAAGGGATCCCTAGAGATCCCCAGGCAGCGATAGAGGTTCAGTGGGGTGCCAGGAACTGAGCAAGGAAACACGAGGGGGAGAAAGGAAATAAGGGCTGGAGTGGAAAAACTGAGCTGCCTAACAGTGTAACCAAGTAAGGGGTGACAGGTTGTAGCTTTGCCTTCGAGGGCTGTGAGGCACTTTTCTAAATCAGGAGGGAACTTGGTCTTGGTATGAATTGGACTCCAGGGTGTCTGGGATCAGGACTGGTGTTTCTGAGATGTGTCTTAGGCCTGTAGTGGTGTTTAAAGGAAATGGTGCATCATCATGCAGTATGGAAAGGCAAAAGAAATTCCCTTTCACAGTTAAATGTGACACTAATGCGATTTGATAGCAGAGTGCTACAAGCGTTATCTTGATTAGTGATAGATGGTATTATAAAAGTAAAATATTATTCCCACAGTATTTGCCAAACTACCAGTGAAACGGAATTGTTTTTTTCTGACAGTTTTTAGAGGGGAGAAAAATACAGAATTTAATGTTATTTGTTGTCGTTTTTCTGTAACTTAGCATTATTAAATGTATTTATATTTGTGATTGTAGAGCATCATCGTGGCATAATGAAAAGGAATACTTTTTTTTTCTTTGCCTTTAGAGTTCTGAGTGGTTACGTCTGGGCTGGCTTGATGTGAAGCCCTATAAAAGTCTGAAGAGTTACGCTATTATTTATGCTTTATAAAATAGAACTCTTTGGTTATAAAAACCCCTAAATTAGTTAAGTAAAACATAACTGGCTTGCTTCTTTCTCAGTGACATTTTCTAACCAGATGCCCAGAATGATTTGGCTTCATTATGTCACTTGTTTCATTGTGACTTGAAGAAAAAAACAGATCTTTTTTTTTTCTTAATGATACTTTGTCATGGATGGGTATGAAGATCAAGACAACATGATAGCAGAAGTACATTGCAAGCTGTCATCCTGTCACTGTATCAGTAGAGGACAGTAATACAAAACTGTACCTACCATAAGATCGTAGAAACTACTATCAAATCTGATACCCTGATTTACTTGAGTATAGTTAGCACTATTACAAAACTAATTGTGTTTCCTCCCCCAAACCTCCAGGATTTGTACATAGATACAGATCAGGGAGGGAGTTAAAATGGAAGGGGTTTTGGTTCGACACATGGTCTCAGTGAGCAGTACCATCGCTGATTGCACAGATCACAGTGGAGTGCTTAAAAAATACTATTTCTTGTCTAATTGATCTTACAATTTGCTGATGTTTTAACATGGAGAAGGTACCAGTACTGGCAATAGTATTAGGTTGATTAGACCTGATAAATGCTAAAACCAATTTCATTCACCAGTCTTCTCTCGATTAGTTTCTACTGAGCTAGCTTGACCAGTGTGGGGGGAGATTTAGTGTTAATCTCTCAGCTGCAGCTGAGCCTCTAGACAGACCTAATGTTAGGTATGTACTGTGAACTGAGTTTGTAGCCCTGTGTGATTTTTCTAGATACCAATCCAGTTTACAATAAGAGGGACTTACCAGCTTTATTCTTGGCACACCCTTCTGTTCAGCATTTTACTCATGGGGCTTGCCGTTCCACTGCTGGGCTCACTGTGGACCTGTAAACTTGAAATCATCCACTTCATTTCTTCCTGGACTTTATTTCTGCAAAATTGGGCATAAACCTGGGAAATATATCTATTTCTTGTACAATCAGGAGCTATTGCTGTGTTATTGATTGCATTCATAGTTTCACGCTTGGAAATATCCCCTGTAATTTTGTAAAATTCCTTCTCTCCTCCCAGCTTTGGCTCGATTTTCTGCACGATTGGAGTATTATGTAAGATCTTGCTGTATTCCTCCAACCTCTGACTGCTGGTGTTTCCTGCTCGGCACAGAGAGGAAATACAACAAAAAATGTGTTTAAAAAAACCAAAACAAGACAACAAACAAAACCAACCAAGCAAAAAAAAAAAAAAAAACAAACCAAAAACCAACTTCCAAAAAAAACCATTTAATGAGACTGTTGCTTCTTGATTCTCAGTCGATAAGCTGCTACTGCGTTCTGTCTTGCACTTTGTACTTGAGAGACCTCTTAAATAAAGCACGTGTCCCAAGTTCTGGAAACACATCACACTATAGGAAACCAGTATGATATTAAGGTGTTCATACCTTTGAGGAGGCAAAGAAGCTATTGTTTTTCAGAAACAATATCTGTTAAGATACTAGAACGTTTTTTCTTGATTTCGAGTTGTTAAGTATCCCTTTACTGAACTCTATAGCAGTGTTTTGGAAGGAAGGAGTTGAGTGATTCCCGAAGTCTTTTCCTCTTCACTGATGTGCATAGCTGAGCATTCAAAAAAATTCATAGCATGTATGAAATGTAATTTGTGGGTTTTTTTGTTTTATTTTTTGTTTGTTTGTTTGTTTGTTTTTTTTTCCCCTCCACATTTTTAGGACTGAAAAGATGCAGAACCACTGACTGTGTAGCAAATGCCCGGAAAAGACTTGGGAGTTCATTTTTATACTGTGAGTAAATTCTTTGGCTACAGGCAGGAGTTGTATTGTTGCATTTTGTGAGGACTAGCTGGCTTTACAGATCTCTGGATTTTTAGACATACGTAGAGTTTATAAAGTCAGAACCATGGGAAGTATTAAACACTCCAACATTAAATTAATAACTGGAAGATACTGGTTTGGCCCTTGATATAGTAGAAAACAGTAGGATACTGGTGCCTTGAGATGCACTGACTAGAGAAAATAGTATTAAAATTTTCATATTGAGATCTCAGTTCAGCTTTTCTTAGCCTGTGTTGTAGGCCTTATTCAATAGGTTATATTATATGACTGTGGACTTTAAAAATGGCTTCCGCTAGAAGAATAGCATGTATGTTGTGCACTTTAAATTGGATCTGATGTAGCACTTGGGCTGAGAATCATAGGCAGTAATGTTAATTCTTTGAAAAAATTGATCCAGCTTCTGACAACAGAAATAATTTTCCATCAAAAAAGGATGCTCTTGTGCACACCTTTAAGAGACTTCCATACAGAAAAAGTCAGAATATTAATTTGAAAATATGCTTCTTTTTAGGCATTTTAAATATTTAGAAATATCTTAAGTTAGTAGTACTGTTTCTGAAAATACACTGGAAAGTTTAGAATGCAAAAGACATTTATTACACGTTCATAAACATTTCATGTCACATCATGTGTAAGTTTATAGGGTATAGTTGGACACTAGGATACTTAAATTGCTGACTGAGTTTAAGGCACCCTGAATCACTACTTTTTCTTTGGAGTTAACATGCCACCCTTTGAGTGAATAGAGATACAGTTGGAATGCTTTCCTATGTGTGACATCAGACATGCCAGTGACAACTGTACAGCATCAACCTGAAAAGACTGATGTGATATTCTAAAAATTGAAACCGTATCTTCTGATGTCAGCCAGAACCTAAAGAATTATACTTTTTAAACTATGAATATGCAGTACATGTAGAGTTTCATAAAATTTTTTGTGGGACTTAAGCAGCAATCTGTAGTTCAGTTTTTTCCTTCCTTTCCGTGAAGTCTGAGTCCTCATATTTACCAGTAAACAGCTATCTCCAAAATGAGTATAACGTGAATATCTCTGTTAGGGCTGTGACAAGAGCTGGTACTTCAGCAAAATTGCATGGGCAGAGAAGGCAGTCTTGAAAAACTTACCGATCTTAGAGCCAAACAAGAAGTAGAAGTTTTCTTACGGGACCTGATGAGATGAAGTAATTTAATTTAAGAATATGTGTATTTTTTATAAAAACACAGCTTTAGTTACTGTTCTGCCCACGTTGTTTGTTCATCACTGCGGATACTTGTTGGACAAATCATAAATCAGATCATAATTGTATATAGCAACTTTTCTGTAACAGCAGTGCTTTACTAGTGGGAGACGTCCCAAGATTATTAAGTATTATTTCTTCAGCTTAGATTTTAAAGCTAGAGAGGCCTCACTTGTCTTGTCTTAAAAAGAAATCCTTTTAAATTTGTATTTTTTTATCTAAAATAGTGGATTTGCCTTTGTGCCTGAACAAAAAGCTTGGATGACGGCCCTGGTTCTAGAGACATGCTTATAGCAGTGAGGCAGGAGAGCAGGTGGAGGCAAATACACTAAGTCGTCTGGAGCTGCTGTATAGCAATGCAGAGAAGCTGCCTGGCAGCCTCCCAAGTGTTGCTGCATAAAGAGGCTAGAACAGAGGCTGACTGCATAGATGGAAAAGTTTTCAGTTAACATGGCTAGCATCATGCCTACAGGTTAACTGTGTTGACTGT